GATCAGTCTCTAACCTCTCTGGATCAGTCTCTAACCTCTCTGACTCTAGATCAGTCTCTAACCTCTCTGACTCTGGATCAGTCTCTTTCCCAGCTCCAGGGTAACGAAGGCGGTCCCGTTCAGTACGATGTCCGTGATGCTCTTCCAGGCGTTTGGAGACAGACGTTCTGACGGACAGACGAAGTTTCCTGCTGCATTGTTGATGATCACCTGAACCAATAAGTAGGTCAACGAGGGTCCTCACGAGTACAGAAAAACAAACGTGTGTGTGTGTGTTCCTACATCAGGAAGTCCCGTCAGAGACTCCACCTGGTCCACACAACGAGAGACCGCCTCAGGATCTCTGACATCAAGCTGAACCACATGGACCTGAGAGAGAGAGGGGGCATCAGTTCAGACCAGTTCAGACCAGATCAGTTCAGAACAGTTCAGACCAGAACAGTTCAGACCAGAACAGTTCAGACCAGATCAGTTCAATGTCCCCTTTATAAATCACAATCAAAAGCCTATTGATCTACAAGTTGTTCCTGTTCATGAAGTTAGTTCTGATCAAGAAGTGACTGAAGGTTTGAACAAGAGGCGCTGCAGACTGAATCTGGACTGACTATCCGGTGAGGGATCAGGTTCTGGTTGGCTACCTTGTTTCCAGTCTGGCTGCTGATCTCCTCGGCTGTTTTCTGCAGGACGTCCAACTTCCTGAACCACAAACACAAGAGAACGTTAGCACAGCATTACCTGGCGTTAGCATTGCTATGCTACACTAGCTATGCTACGTTAGCGACTGAAGGCTAACTGAATGTGTTTAATGATTGTGTTATTCCTTCATGTCAGCTGATGTGCCGGTTTCACTTTTATCTTTTGAATAAATACGTTGACTCTTCTGTCTGCTGCTCACTCTGTTTAATTATGGGGTGTCATTAGTGACAGTGGTCTCCATGGTAACGTGGCAGGGGGCGGGGCTTAGCCAGGGGTCAGGCATCACTCTTCCATTCAGTCTACGTCTGTGTTTTGGTGCCCCCTGCTGGTTGATCAGCAGACTGCAGTAGCTGTGTAGACGTGTAGCTGCGTAGCCGTGTAGCAGCATAGTTGTGTAGCTGCGTAGCGGTGTAGTTGCATAGTTGTGTAGTTGTGTAGCCGTGTAGAGGTGTAGCCGTGTAGCTGTGTAGCCGTGTAATTTTGTAGCCGTGTAGTTGTGTAGCCGTGTAGCCGTGTAGTTGTGTAGCCGTGTAGTTGTGTAGCCGTGTAGTTGTGTAGCCGTGTAGCCATGTAGAGGTGTAGCCGTGTAGCTGTGTAGCCGTGTAGCCGTGTAATTTTGTAGCTGTGTAGCCGTGTAGTTGCATAGCGGTGTAGTTGCATAGCTGTGTAGCTACGTAGCTAACAGTGATTCATAACAACCTCTGACCTGCTGGCGATGACACACTGAGCTCCCAGCTGAGACAGAGTCGTGGTCATAGCTCGGCCCAGACCCGTCCCCCCCCCCGTGATAAACGCCACGCGGTCCTTGAAGCTTCCTGTCGGCAGCATGACGCCTTCAACCGGCGGGAAGAACTTCGCCTGAGGAAGAGGAGGAGCAGCCGAACCATGGAGCCATGACTGAAACCAGAACAGAGATCCGCCATTTAATAAAGTGACCAATCAGAGCAGAGACAAAACAACGTGGACCTGGTTCTACTGATGAACCGGTTCCTTCTGGTGAACCGGGTTCTTTAATCTGGTTCTACTGATGAACCTAGACTCCTACTGATCTTTTTTTTTTTTCTATCAAATAAAAACATATTTGATAAAGTGACCGATCAGAGCAGCAGCAGCAGCCCCCCCCCCACCCACTCTGAGCTGCAGTGCTGTTCGCGGAGGCACAAGTAACTGGGTGAAAGGTCAAACTCTAGAAAAGTTCATGTGTTCAAATGTTTCATTTAAACCGCGTTTAATTAATATTATATGACGTCATCTTTACTGTAAAACTCCGATTTTTGATGATTATTGATTTTATAATTGTTTATGTTGTTTTTTCATCTTCTCTCTGACGTCCCAGTCCACACCTGTAAACACTTTATCTTCATATTATTATATTAATAATTACAGTATTAAAATGTTTCTCACCGAGTGAACTGAAGTCCTGACGGACCGGAGAAGTTCAGCTCTCCTGAACATAGAGGCGGCCATGTTGTTATGGACCGGACCAGACCAACACGGAGGAGAAGAGGGGGGTACTTCCGGGTAACTTCTCATTAGAAACACAGTTCACAGCTGTACACAGAAATAAAAACAATAGAAATATTCAGAAGTAATAAAAGAGACAGAAATAGATTGTTTATCACAATAATAACAATTATAATAATTGTATTTAAATGTGTAGTCCCAAGATTGTATTATTACATATTATATTATATACTATAGTATTATAGAATATTTTAAGAAATCATATCATATTTAGTTGTATAAACAGGAAACATTTGATCAAATTATCAAAAATAATTAATAATCTCCACATTGTCCCTCTCTCCTGAGACCAATGGTTCAGTCTAGAACGTGACGACGATCACGTGTTACCGTAATGTGTCTAAAATGACGTCACTTAAGAAAAACTCTCCTGTATATTTTTCAGATTTTCTCCACAAACAAACTTCCGACGTGACGTGATCACTATCTGATCAGCCCCATATCGATTACTAACCGGATGAACTCTCCGGTAGTTCTAAAGATCAGGCGGACGGTACTTTTATTTTGAAGTACTTCCTGTTTGCTCTGACAGTTACGGTAACGGAGCGGTGTGGTCCGACCGTCTGAACACGGAGCAGCTCGAGAGGAACCAGCAGCTGATCGATCAGCAACAGATACCTGATCACTGATGGAGGACCGGGTCTCTGGACCCAGACTGGTTCTGGTCTTCAGCGGGAAACGGAAGTCCGGAAAAGATTACGTCACGGACCTGATCCACAACCGGTAAACCGGTTTATTATTGATCAACGAGGCTGATGGAAAACATGATTAATTATGTTTTTGACAAACTGAAGAAACTGTTTTACAGCAATACTCTGTGTTGTACTGCAATACTCTGTGTTTTACTGCAATACTCTTTGTTTTACTGCAATACTGTGTTTTACAGCAATACTCTGTGTTGTACTGCAATACTCTGTGTTGTACTGCAATACTCTGTGTTGTACTGCAATACTCTGTGTTTTACTGCAATACTCTTTGTTTTACTGCAATACTCTGTTTTACTGCAGTAACTCACGTTTCTTCTTCTTCTGTAGTTTAGGCTCTAATGTTTGCTGCGTCCTGCGTCTGTCTGGACCTCTGAAGCAGCAATACGCTGAGGTGAGACACACACACACACACACACACACACTCTAAGGGCGTAGGTTTGGTCTCAGCATTAGGCTCGTTCGAGTTGAACTGCGCCTCGCCTGGAAAGCAGACGAGAGCAGGCGGACGTAGAAAGGGGCGTTGACAAAAAACTGCGTTCAAGTCGGACCGTTTTAGCCGCCTGCTTCTGCTTCTTCTTCTTCTTTTGCTTTGTTTGGCGGTTGGCAAACAGCTTTCGGGTGCATTACCGCCTCCCACTAATCTGGAGTGTGGACTAAGAACTCTAATACGACAACCACACGAAAATAAATACATATACATACTGTATATACACACACATATGTGTGTAAATAAATAAATATATATATATATATAAATATATATAAATAGAAAAAATAAATAATAATACATTTCTTTCTCAAATTCTATTCATTAGTGTTGTTGACTCTAAATATTCCAGAAAACGTTTCCAACATTTGTCACTAAAGCTTTTCTCTCCAATCTCTCTTAGACCTTTTTTCAAAACTTCTCTGACAGGACAATGAAACATGGTCCACAGTTTCTTCTTCTCCACAACATGTACACTTTCCATTATTATGCTTTCTAATAACAGAGGGAACTGTTCAGTCAGAGTCTTCAATCAGAGGAGCGGCGGTTCGATCCCCGGCTCCGCTAGGAGCATGTCGATGTGTCCTTGAGCAAGACACTTAACACTAAATTGCTGGTGTTTAAGTTTGGATGTCTTTTCATATATTTAACTATGTTATTATTATAATTGAGGATATAAGATTGGGCATATTTTAGTTCTTGGATGTCATATTTATTTAAACATTTCTATAAATAAATATATGTGAAGATAGCGTCATTTCTAAATCATACAACCGTAAATTTAAGAAATTTAAAAACTGAACCAACAGTTCAAACATCACAGCTACATAAACAGGCTCCACACGGAGGAAAAGCAGCGCTGCAAGTTTCCGTCAGTGATAATTGTACTTTTCTTTTAATACGTGTTGTGATGCTTCACAATCATTAATCGATGGACACATTCAGTGCTCTGACTGAAAACATGTTGACATCAAGTAGGATGTAGGCTCTCTCAATAAATATCTTTATTTACAGATGCTAAATAAATAACCTTATATATTATTATTGTTATTGCACAAAATGAGACTAATAGCCAACAATCTAGCGTTAAGTATTACAATTAGACAGAAAATTAAGATTTACATTTGTTTATACTATATTTATCCTGTTAATTAAGGATACATTTGTCTCTGCATTTGACCATCCCTATATATGGGGAGCAGTGGGCTGTCTTTGACAGGCGACACGTCAAAGGCCAAGGCTCAAACAGCCGACCTTGTGGTCACCTGCCAACCCTCTTAACCCAGTGAGCCACGGTCGCCCACCTTTTCCACTAAAGAAAATCTAAGAGCCAATCAGCTCTTTGATCCGAAGACAGCCAGAAGTTTCCCATCATGCCCTGGGGTCACGCAGTCAGTGGAGAGCAACTGCAGCACCTGGCTCTAAAATCTGCGGCCGCCTCGCTCATGTGAGATCAACGTTACGCACGTTTTCATGACGTCAGAGCAAGTCGGACGCAAATCTACCCAGCATGCAGTGTGCACCGATCGCCGGTGATCGAAACTGCGCACGCCTGGCTTATGTTGAACGAGCCTATTGTATGCAATATATTTTTTATATATATTTTATATTATCATAGTACTTTGTTTCTGTTCTATATCTCTGTTTCTTGTTTATGCACCAAAGCAAATTCTCCATAACGAGGCCTATTTGATGGTGAATCTACCACCTTCCTGTTACTTGTGTAGCTTACTGTTAGTCCTATGTTTAACAGTTCCTTCTTCACATGAAACATTATGACACTTCCTGTTTCCACCAGAGAGAGGGAAGTTTCATGCAGCTATGAGAGTTCAGTCCGTCACATAGTAGGGAGGGTCTGGTTTGAGAAAGACCCTGAGACTCCAGTCCACTTGGTGGCAGTAATGCACCTCGAAGCCAATAAACACTAAATAAGAAGTCTAAGTCTATTAAGTTTATAAACAAATTTAATATCATACTAATCATGTTGTCATATTGATTTTTATTAACGCAACACAAGCTGGATTTAGTGCTGTGACGCCGTCGGTCCAGGCTGCTGATGTAAGCTACTTTTTAATTAGCCAGAAACCGTCATGATGATGAATGCTGGTTCAGCAGACCAGACCAGACCAGACCAGATCAGACCAGCAAAACCAGATATCAACAGAACTGTGATGATGTGTTTGTGTAGTTGTATGACCTCCCATCATGCATCAGGACTCTTACCGTAAAGCCTGGGGGATGTTGAATTTGGGTCCAGTCTGTGATGGCACCTCCTCCTCAGCTGCCACATCCTCCTCCTGCTCCTCCTCCTCCTCAGCTGCCACATCCTCCTCCTGCTCCTCCTCCTCCTCCTCCTCCTCCTCCTCCTCAGCTGCCACCTCCTCCTCCTCCTGGAGCTGTACATATAACTGACGTCAGTGTCACAGTAAACGGCCTTGTTGAACTAAAACCAGACTCCTTGTTTGAGTTTAAACTAAGCAGGAGAAATGTAACAGATATTTGAAGGAAACAGTTTCTGTGTTTGAGAGGAAACATGAAAAAGACTTGTTTATAAATAATTATAAACCCTAACAATTGTGTGACAATGACGTTTGAATCAATACTGAAAAACACCACCAAGTGTAAAAAGAACTAGCAGAGAAACAGGAGAAATTTTCAGCTTCTCTCTTTCACTTAAACGTTGTTCTGAAACTTCTCTTCAGTCCTTCAGTCACGAAACATCACGAGGCCCCGACACGTCCCAAAGTCCCGACTCTTAACTAAGTCCGGACTTGTTCTCAGATCCCGACTCTTAACTAAGTCCGGACTTGTTCTTAGATCCCGACTCTTAACTAAGTCCCGACTTGTTCTTAGATCCCGACTCTTAACTAAGTCCCGACTTGTTCTCAGATCCCGACTCTTAACTAAGTCCTGACTTGTTCTTAGATGCCGACTCATCACAAAGTCTCGATTCACCACCATGAATCATTAGTAGAAATCATTAGAAACACAAGCTGGTAAAAATCAACTCACTGTATCAAAGAGCTCCTCCAGCAGCTCATTCACTTCCTTCTCTGAAAAAGAAGAAGTGTTAACACAGAGGGGAGGACAAAACAAAACACACACAGGGTCTGTGGACCCTAGACCCAGTCTACAATACATACTGGTGATCTGGACTGCACGGTCTGTTCTGTAGTCCTCCAGATCAGGTTCATCTTGGTCATCCAGGAAGTTGTACTCTGGATCGTCATCGTCATCAGCTTCCTCTGAGAAAACAAGCAGATTCAATAAAGCCTTCTGAGGCAAATTTGTGATTTTGGGCTAAACAAAAATAAAATAAATTGAATTGAAAAATCAGCTGTCTGCATCTAAACAACAAAGACTGTCTCCGATGTCTTGTTGTCAAAGCTGTAACTGGGAACTTCTTTTAGTTCCAGTATCAGAAACTGTCTCCGGCTGACAGACGAACAACGAGCACACTATGGATACCACCACAGCTGGAAGATCATATAAATAACAGTATTAACAGTTCAGAGACACATGTGAAGGGATAAATCCTGATTCATAATTAAACCTGAGAGTGTACTGAAGCCTCAGTGCTGCACTGTGAATCAAACTCAATGCTTACACTTTTTACACTTAGACCGGAATGTATTTACATCTGACCTTCACTGTCGGGGGCCATGAGGCCCTGCAGCCACTTCGTCCAATGACGGTCCTCCTCCCGCTGGGCGGTACTGTGACCGTACATGTCAGCAGTGATGTCCGGGGCCAGAAGCGCCGCCTCCAGCTGACCCAGAGGAACGTTAACCAGACGAAGTTTGGAGCGTGTACGGTACGCCAAACAGCTGGAGCCTTCATGACTACCATCATCATCAGCTTTTCTGTCCAGAGGCTGAGAGACAGACAGTAGAGAGAGACAGGTAGTCAATCAGACAGACGGGTGCATAGAGGTGGGCGGATGCTGGGGAGTGGGGGGTGGTTGGGTTACCTGGTTATAGGTGTATGCAGGGCTGCAGTCAAGCTCCTCTTCCACAGCATTCAGTCTCTCCAGGAAGGAAGACTCCGGAGCAGTGAGGAAGTGATGAGGAGCAGAGGTCATCAACTGTTCCCTCAGGCGTTCTGGAGATCTCTATAAAACAGGTCAGAGGTCAGGGTTCCCACAGGGGGTCAGGGTACCTGTAGGAGGTCAGGGGTCGGGGTACCTGCAGCAGGGGTCAGTTACCTGTAGGAGGTCAGGGGTCCCTATAGGAGGTCAGGGGCCAGTTACCTGTAGGAGGTCAGAGGTCGGGGTACCTGCAGGAGGTCAGGGCTCAGGGTACCTGTAGGAGGTCAGGGGTCGGGTACCTGTAGGAGGTCAGGGGTCGGGTACCTGTAGGAGGTCTTTGCTCAGGGTACCTGTAGGAGGTCAGGGGTCGGGTACCTGTAGGAGGTTCGGGGTACCTGCAGGAGGTCAGGGGTCAGTTACCTGTAGGAGGTCAGGGTACCTGTAGAAGGTCGGTTACCTGTCGGGGTTCATTAGTCCTCTGATCTGCCAGAAGTTTGGGTTGAGAGCCCTGATGCTTTTTGAGAGGTGAAGCCAAGCTGTCTGCATCACTGAAGAAGGTCTACACACACACGCACACACACACACACACACACACACACACTACTTAATCTGAACAGTCTGAATGTAAAACAGACACTAAAGGTCAAAGAATGACCCACCTCTTCTGCCATGTCTTCCTCCTCCTCCTCCTCCTCCTCATCGGGACAATACTCTTCATCTGATGAGTCTTCATCCTCCTCAAGATCAATGTCAACAAACTGAGGAGGCTGCAGGAGAGACAGACAGTCAGAGAGACAGACAGTCAGAGAGACAGAGGGACAGGCAGTCAGAGAGACAGACAGTCAGAGAGACAGAGGGACAGGCAGTCAGAGAGACAGACAGTCAGAGAGACAGAGGGACAGGCAGTCAGAGAGACAGACAGTCAGAGAGACAGACAGTCAGACAGTCAGAGAGACAGACAGTCAGAGAGACAGAGAGACAGGCAGTCAGAGAGTCAGAGAGACAGGCAGTCAGAGAGACAGAGAGACAGACAGTCAGAGAGACAGACAGTCAGAGAGACAGAGAGACAGACAGTCAGAGAGACAGAGGGACAGGCAGTCAGAGAGACAGACAGTCAGAGAGACAGAGGGACAGGCAGTCAGAGAGACAGACAGTCAGAGAGACAGACAGTCAGACAGTCAGAGAGACAGACAGTCAGAGAGACAGAGGGACAGACAGTCAGAGGGACAGGCAGTCAGAGAGACAGACAGTCAGAGAGACAGAGAGACAGACAGTCAGAGGGACAGGCAGTCAGAGAGACAGACAGTCAGTCAGAGAGACAGACAGTCAGAGAGACAGAGAGACAGACAGTCAGAGAGACAGACAGTCAGAGAGACAGAGGGACAGACAGTCAGAGGGACAGGCAGTCAGAGAGACAGACAGTCAGAGAGACAGAGAGACAGACAGTCAGAGGGACAGGCAGTCAGAGAGACAGACAGTCAGAGAGACAGGCAGTCAGAGAGACAGGCAGTCAGAGAGACAGAGAGACAGACAGTCAGAGAGACAGAGAGACAGACAGTCAGAGAGACAGAGAGACAGACAGTCAGAGAGACAGACAGTCAGAGAGACAGGCAGTCAGACAGTCAGAGAGACAGACAGTCAGAGAGACAGACAGTCAGACAGTCAGAGAGACAGACAGTCAGACAGTCAGAGAGACAGACAGTCAGAGAGACAGACAGTCAGAGAGACAGACAGTCAGAGAGACAGACAGTCAGGCAGTCAGAGAGACAGACAGTCAGACAGTCAGAGAGACAGGCAGTCAGTGAGACAGACAGTCAGAGAGACAGACAGTCAGAGAGACAGACAGTCAGAGAGACAGAGAGACAGACAGTCAGAGAGACAGAGGGACAGACAGTCAGAGAGACAGAGAGACAGACAGTCAGAGAGACAGACAGTCAGAGAGACAGACAGTCAGAGAGACAGACAGTCAGAGAGACAGAGGGACAGACAGTCAGAGGGACAGGCAGTCAGAGAGACAGACAGTCAGAGAGACAGACAGACACAACAAAATAAGTTATTACTTAATAATATGTATTTTATCTTTGGCAGTAATGTAACCTGAACATTAATGCCAATAAAGTTTATTTGAGTTGAACTGACAGACCTTGACCGTGGCTGCGTGCAATGCTGACAGACTCCAGTTCAGTGGCTGTAAGCAGACAGACGGACAGACAGATAAAGGACAACCAGATTAAACAGACTTGGTTTGAAAGTTGAAAGTATCAGAGAGGATTGTGGGAGATTGAGTTCACCTGTCCCTGCTGAACGGCCTGTTTCAGTCTGGATCGAGTCATTTTTGGCTCCTGATGGAAGAAAGAAAACACAGTTTATAGAGAACGCGTAGTGAACAGAGTACCTGAACGCGTAGTGAACAGAGTACCTGAACAGGTAGTGAACAGAGTACCTGAACGGGTAGTGAACAGAGTACCTGAACGGGTAGTGAACAGAGTACCTGAACGGGTAGTGAACAGAGCTGCAGGACAAAGACAACATGGACACTTACAAACATCGGCAGGTTCTGAGTGTCTCTGATGGCAGCTTTCATCATGGCCACCACACGCTCATGGGTTATCACCTCCTGACAGGGGACACACAACATGTGACATGTCACACACAACGTGTGCGTGTGTGTGTGTGTATATATGTGTGTGTGTGTGTCACTCACGTGCAGGATGGCGCGCACGTTCCTGGATGTCAGGTTGTGTTGTTTGGACTTCCTGTCCAGGTCGATGTCCAGTCGTCCCAGTTCGTCCTCACTGGCCTCGCTGGTGACCGCGTCGACGGGTGGATTCAACCAAACTTTATTCAAACAGGATCCCACGTGTTCGCTTGTCAGTGTGATGTCACAGTTTACTACTTCTGTGTCACCTGAGACAGGTGTTCTCTCCTCTTCCTGTCTGTCCTGTCTGGAACTTCCTGTTCGAGACATCGGAGACTTCCTGTCTAGTTTGAAGACAACGGTCTCTCCGTCCGTCCTCAAAGATTTAGACTGCAGCGGACAAATGTCCTCTTGGGCTGAACGCCTCCTCTCCATCTGCTGGAAGACACAACCCATCAATACAAGTACTACATGTACCTCTGAGATGTAGTACAGTAAAAAGTACTATATATACCTCTGAGATGTAGTACAGTAAAAAGTACTATATGTACCTCTGAGATGTAGTACAGTATAAAATACAATACGTACCTCTGAGATATAGTACAGTAAAAAGTACTATATACTGTATACCTCTGAGATGTAGTACAGTATAAAGTACTATATGTACCTCTGAGATGTAGTACAGTATAAAGTACTAT